ATCATTCTCCATTGAAATCACTGCAAGTGCATTTAGTCTTTCAGGATTCATAGTGCAAAGTTTTTATTCATTTCAGTGTTGAAAAGCAATGTTCTGACTCTGATGTAGTCATGGGAATTGTCAAGAGGATTTTTATCAGTTTCGTAATTTCACTAAAAATACCATCTAGATTATTTTCCAAGATAAGTTACAGCAGCTCAATTATTTTGCAATATTCATGCTTATTGGATCTACAATACAATGCTTTTAGTTTAGTTTCAAGCTTTTGTTGAACAATTTAGCGGCTACTAAGTGTTTCAGTGGCAGAATATATGTCCATTATATTAACACATATACAATCACGTATTTGGGACGTAGGGGAAGATGGCCATCTCTGGAAGGTACGCACATTTCGATGCAGAAAGATAAGAAATTTAATAAATAATCGTTTAATTCAAAAGATTCCAGAATTTATTTTTAACAAAGTTCATATAAATCCATAATACAGTACGTGTTTCACGCTAGGAAATACTAGAGGTTTGAATAGAAATTCATATTCATCAGGAATTTTGATTTAACCCTTTGCCTGTCCTATGCATTATATGTGATGCACACGACATGTGATTTCCACGTCCTTGCATCATATGTGGTGCGCAAGAGCCATGATTTAATAAGCATGGAAAAACTAAGGACGCTTAAGAAAAGTGTCTACTATTAAGCAGGACGTCTGAGGAGAGGCATAATCTATTATTTTGTGTATCATATATGACCACAGGACGCTTGCCTGCTTTCATATTTATAACTATTGCAAGGCAACTCAACTTATTTGGCAAATAGAATGTGATGATATATAGTGTTTCACATAATCAAAACATGTGCGTCACATACGATGTACATAGCGTAGTATAAATAACTTGATTTGTACGTTTTTATTCAATTTGCCAAATAAGCTGAGTTGCCTTGCAATAGTTATAAATCTGAAAACAAGTATGAACGTTTGGATAGTACACACGAAAATGCCCTGGACAGGGTTAAGAAGAGTTAACACCAATATATACTGGGCTCACCCTAAGAGTTGCCAAAGTTCTGTATTCGGTGTCACCTGAGTACGTTAGAAGATCTAGGTGCCCCGAGAGTTGACCTAGAAGAAAAGTAGCAAAGGCAAAGTCGGGCCTCAAAGAATGCCGGTGGGTGCATCAATACAAACAAGGAAGCAAAACCAGCTGAACTTAAGATATATGTACACGATATAACCGGATAACAGGAAATCTAGGCGACGGAAAATTCTGAATTGAAAACCAGCGAGAAGATGGGTCTCCTTCGAGCTATCTTTCTCCAGCTGCAGTATATATGCTGCCCCTACGGCCCTAATGGGTTACGGTGACTGTTATTAACGTTGACTGACAAGCAGGAGATAAATAGTGTTCTAAGTAACTTCTAAGAGATTGCTAACAAGTTACGACACTTGGAATGTTGAAACGATCCTAAGAGACGCAGCTAGTCAAGTTAAAATAATCTACTTTGAAGTCGATACAATATTTGACGAATGGATTTTATATCCGTTAGCAAATATTAAATGATTCATATCTTGGAATAAACTACATTCTCTACATACATACCAAAAGGCATTTAGCCCCTGACACGATAATTTACTCATTCCTTTTTGTAGGCATCTACCGCATCTAGCAATAGATCAAATAGTGGGATGGTAGGAAGGTTAGCAAGATTGTGTTGCGCTTATTTTCAGAGTGGGAAGAACCGGTTTTCCTTAACAGATCAGTATTTGGATGCCTGCTTTTAGTTCCATGGCAAATGTTCAGACAAGTTCCATTCTTTAATTCGACCAATTCGGGCCTTTTCAGTTAAAACTCGCCATGTTGCGTCCACAGAGTCGCCAAAACCCCGCCGCCCGACTCAACTCTTCAAACAGCTTTTTTCTCAAGAACCGTTGCTTTGTGGAATAGACCCCTGCATGCATGTCTGTCCAAACCACAAAGTCTTAACCTCTTCAAATCAATGGCTCATTGTTACCTATCCACATATTCACCACTTCTTGCTCTTGCATACACTTCATTCAGTAACCCTTTATCTTGAGTGGCTTTTGAGCCTCGTATTGTGTGAACATTAATGAAAATAAAATGTTACAGAGTAAGTTTACTGTGGCAATGTGTTCTTTCCTTGCATAAAAAGTTATACTCATAAACAATCATATTGTGTGTGTGTATATATATATATATATATATATATATATATATATATATATAGACACACACAACTTGCTCCAGAAAGGTTCGGATAAATTCAACAATTTTATCAAAATGTTCATGTGTCAGTTTACCGAGCGTTTCCCATTTATGAGGAACGTCCCATGAAGTTTCCTCAGAATAATTGAAAGTGAAGTTCTTTGTAAATTTCTTTGTTTCCAGCAAGAAAAAAGTTTGTTTTTTTTTTAAATTTCCCGGCGAGACACAGGAAACGCTCAGTAAGCTGACAGAGGGCGACTGGAAGTGAAACAGAAGGGAAAGACTTTAGAAGGAACCGGAAACCTAATCTTAAACAGGAAACAAGTGATAAACCTCTGCCCATGTTCAAAGAACCGGAGAGGAGTGTGAACTGGACGATAGGCGAATAGATACACGTGTTAAAGTAGACATCCACGTATTAAAAAACGAAAGAAAGATTGTCTACTTACGGCTTAGGCAAATAAAAATCTTATCAAAAAAAATGTGCCTCTCGATTTTGCATTGCCCCTCACCTGGAAGAAAAACACCTTTTAAGCTAGGTGTAGTTTTAATCGCTTAGCCACAAGAGACCTCACTGCAAAGCCAGGTTCAATTTCCATTTTTTAAAAATTTTCCGTTTGGATCTTTCGAAGTCTATATCTGTTCATTTTATTTTCTTAACCGAAGCACAAACAAAGTAATTTATAAACAATTGATATTAGAATCCGATATTATTCCTTATTTTAGGTCATATATAAATCTATGCAGTCATAAACTAGCAGATTACCAGAAGGAATTCCTAGAATCAAATTGTCATCTTCAGCCTAAATAAAAAGCTTAACCACAGTACCTTGTCAGTCGTATTTAATAAAACTTGTATAAAAGGGGGATTGTTGTCCAAATACACAATCTTTAAATTGCATGACCCGGCAGCCAACAAAGAAAGTAACACTACAACATTCAGAAAAGATCTTGTTTTACAATAAATAATAACAAATAAAAATGAAATCTAACATTTAAATAAGGAAATTCAAAAACATCATGCGATACTAAAAGCACCTTGACTGAATCCGAATATAATGAAGTACAATACCATATCAACCTAAGTATTATTGATGACGAACTTAAACATAAATAATTACGAAAAAGCTTTGCAACTTATACCAAGGAAATATTCTACTTCCCAAGAACAATGACAAAGATATAAACTTATGCAGTTATGAACTAACAGGTGACCAGAAGGAATTCCTAAATCTAGAACCAAACTGCCATCTCCAGCCTAAATAAAAAACTTAACCGCAGTACCTTTTCAGTCTTACTTAATGAAACTTTGTGTATATATATATATATATATATATATATATATATACACACACACACACACACACATTGGATTAAATATAGATCTGACAGAATAAGATAAAGAACAAATAGGGAATATTTATCAATCTAACATGTTTCACTTTTATTAAAGCTTCATCAAAGAAAAAGAAAGAAATTCTGGTATTTTTACTTTTGAGTTGTTTGATTTTCATTGGTTTAACAGAACTTATTAGCAAGTGTTGGCATATGAACAAGTCTTTTTTAAGCCAGAAAGCCCTTGACTGAGAGAATAAATAAATAATATACGTGGATTATTTTATTTTTATTTATACATGTAGGAGTGGCTGCTTCGGGTTACTCCACTTGCGATGAGGTCGTAGCCGCCGCCCGACTGTCTAAAAAGGCGCGAACAGTGGAACCGGCCTATTCTGGGCGTTTGTGGATCGGTTTATTAGCGTCAAAATATCAGGAACGTGCGTTCTCGGTACACTTGTAATGATATCCCAAAACACGTTTATACTAATATATACAGGGTAATGGAAAAGTTACTCTCTATTTCATGTATGATGGACTCTTTCGTCTAACTATAATTTTTGCAAGACGGGAGAGTCCATGTTCTACCAGAAATGGTGAAATGTTGTAAGAGCCAGAAAAACAAATTTACTTGCAATCAAGGCACTCTCTAAACATAATACGTCGGAATGAATTGTTTTCCCCTTTTGATCAGAGTATCATTTTTATTTTAATTGTGGTCAGTCTCGTTACGTTGGGCAACAAACGCATTTGATGTATTGCTTTGTAAAATATCTCTTTTGTGTTTAGATTCCTGAAATGTCTCTTTTTTTATTTAGATTGCTTGAGGTTTCTCCTATGTATTTTTATGACAATTATTACAGGTAATCGAATAAATTCCTCCTTCAAGTTTTAGCCTATTGTTTTATTTAGCTTTGACTAAATCTTTTATTGTTTTAGAAGTAGTAATAAAAAGTTTACGTTGAGTTTAGATAGATTATTTCCAGTTGTAGATGTGATATAGTTTACACTATTTACATTATTCGGACTATTGTTCTCATCTTTGTCGCCATATTTATTACAACGTTTCGGCCGTTGTACGCTCCGGCCTTCATCAGGTGGTTGGAATGTCGAACTGAACCCTTTATTTCCCACGCTGGGGTAGACTGTTGCCATGTCTGATGGATATCAGTTATCTCCTGTTAATTCCCCTCTCCAAGTTCTCCCCTGCCTTAACCAGGTATTGAACTCACCCTCTTTGGGTCCTGTCACTAGATCTAACTAACGCCTTTATCCACTGTGCCATGAATTACAATATCATATTTACTTTGAAGTCTGTCGTACTGATATTTGTTAACAGTAAATAAACATAACTCGATTAATTAAAATCTATACTAAGTTTCTGATTGTTTTAAAGTAATTTTTCTTTGCTTTTCTTTTACAGATTAAAGAAGTTTGTCAGCCATGTCCTCCAACCTCGAATCTGAAATTAACAGCTGCCCTGCTCCGTCTTGTGACACCTTCGTCGTACTAAAACCAAACACTTTGGGTAACTGTGTTATTTTTGGTAAAAATTCGGATCGACCAGCTGATGAAGTTCAAGAGGTCATCTATGTAGCTGGCTGTGATCATCCGAGGAATAGTAAAGTCCAGGTAAACATAATCTGACAAAATTCCAAGTGACACTCCTGATTTTTTCTGAATACAGATTTTCTTTGCAGTTACCTTGGCTAATTGGCAGGTTCGACGAGGGGCATCTACACGTAAAATGGAATCATTGATCTGAGTTCGAATTTCGACCGTGGCCTTCACTTTGCTCTTTTAAAAGAAATGAATTCATTTCTCTTTCAGATATGGGTAAATAAAGTAAGCTCTTTAGCTCTGTTTTGTAGTCCAGGTAAAAGAAGGCTACTCTAAGATCATGGCGTTCTATACTAAAGTCCATGTCATGGTGCAACTCTTGACAAGAACTAAAGGCCTGTTTCAAATATTGTCCTTTCACTGGTGGCGAAGATTTTTAGTTTTGGTTTGTGTTTACACTAGTTTGCTGCTGTAGTCAGCTTAAGAAATTTGAAGCTGGACGGCTACAAACTTAAAATCTTAAATACTTGGTTTCTAACTCGATTTACAATGAAAAGTCGAATAATGTTCTTAAAATAGCCTCATCAAAAAGAGAATTTTATATTGTTGTCATGCTTGACATTCGCTCGGAAATATCGATACTGTCAGATGTATACAACCTCTTTCCCAGATCAATGATTAAAAATAGCTTCGATCGAACGAAGCCTGTAGATCAGAGTCAGGAACATCCTTCTTCGAATATTGAATCTGGCACTAAAGAATTACAAAGAGACAGACACAACATCACTTGAGGATTACTAACAGCAGCAAAAACTAAAATAACAATAACTAGATGACATTATTTATATTATTCGGACTATTGTCCTCATCTTTGTCGCCATATTTATTACAACGTTTGGGCCGTTGTACGCTCCGGCCTTCTTCAGGTGGTCAGAATGTCGAACTGAACCCTTTATTTCGCTCACTGGGGTAGACTGTTCAAGTTCCACGTGCCATGTTTAATGGATGTCAGTTATCAGTTATCTCCTGTTAATTTTCCCTTTGAAAGTTTTTCACTGCCTTAACCTGGTATTGAACTCACACTCTTTGGGTCCTGTCACTTTATCCACTGTGCCATGTGTCCTTGACACATGGTACAGTGAATAAAGGTGTTGGTTAAATCCAGTGACAGGACCCAAAGAGTGTGAGAACAGTCTACTCCAGCGAGCGAAATAAAGGGTTCAGTTCGACATTCCAACCACCTGAAGAAGGCCGGAGCGTACAACGGCCGAAACATTGTAATAAATATGGCGACAAAGATGAGAACAATAGTCCGAATAATGTGCATAATATCTCATCTCAGAAATATAAACAAATAACTAGATGACTTTACAACTTTCAACAGCCGTAAAAACTAAAATGGATATCACGTGTCACTCTAAGAGAAAATAATGACATAATAATGACATTCCACCCTACAGACAAAAACGTTAGGAATGAAGTTGGAAATACTGGAAAGATTGATAACACAATTGAGAAATCTATTTTCCTGAAAGATTGTTTTAAGAGAAAGATTTTATAAATTGCAACCGAAAGTAACAGTGGCGGCTCTGACAGTGAATACCGAATGTTTCCTTATAAAGAAACTGTCAATATTACCATTATCATGAGACTTTTTTAAATTTTCCCAGAATTTTTCTTTTGGCAAAATCTTTTATTCGTATAAATTCATAACATCATTAATCAGAATTTCCTCTGGGTTCCTATTACCGTTACATTACCTATAGGTACCTTCACGAAATCGCCAAAAAAACAGCATACCGTGAGGAAAACATGCTCCAAACGTAATGAAAACATAGTTTTATCGTCAAAATCGTTATGTTTTTATTAAGATCAAAATATTTTTGAATATTCAATTAATTGTTTTTTTACTCGAAAATTCGAAATTTTGATTAAAAAACTAAAAATTTGTTTTTCTTGTGTTAGCAGTTGTACTATTTTTAGCATAGCAAGTTTTAGCCTCTTTTTTGCAATGAAAGACACATTAATTTGGAAATTCTTGCAAAAATCAAATAATTGTCGGATTTTAATGAAATTTTCAGAACTTATTCATAATTAAATGAAACTATTTTTAAAAAATTTTTATTGGAAAATCTTTGTAAAAATATTTTTTTTTTTATTTTGCATCTGTTTCAGTCCATTACTGAAAACTTTATGAAAACTTGAGAAATTCATCGAGACCATTTTTTATTAGTTAAAAGTAGAATTCTTTCAAGAATTTTGCAAAATGAGACCCCGTCTTACCGAAAATCTGTTCTAAATCGAAAAATAAAAAACGCAATAAGACTAAAATATAATTGCTTTCATGAATAACATTAAAGACAATATTGTCTGAAGCAAAACATTTTTTCGGTGAAAAATGATTTTTTACAAGATTTGTTTTCATTTTTTACAATTTTAAATTGAATAATTTATAAAGGTTTAAATCTTTTAAAATTCACTTTCAAAGTGATAACGCTTAGGAAATACTGTTATTAAGTAAAACTATATTTACTAATTATATATTGTAAAGCGTATTACAATCTGACAACCCCGAATATTTCTAAAAGAATTTCGATTTGTTTTTGTATATGTACGTGCAGAATTTATGAAATATGGATGTACAAACCGATAAATCTACCATTAAAAGGTCATGTGTTTTAAGGGTTCTCCCTCTTATAAACTTTATAGTCTGCTCCACCATACTTAACCATGAACACGTTCGGCGGTCAATCGGCTGTCAATAAATCGATTAACACGTCTGAAAAACAAGACTCCGTGGTTAAGAAATGCTTGTATATAAACTTTTATGCCATAAGTAAGTAATATTTGTTTCAAATCCGATTAATTTAACTTTAAATTTGCTAATTTTCCTCAAATAACGTTTCAGAAATATATATTTCATTTTGCAAGATTTTTAAAACCGAGAATTAACTTTTGTTTACAAATCTGCCAATTTTTATCGATTTTACTGAAAAAAATCGATTTCTATCAATATAATTTCCGTTTAAAATACATCACAGAGTATTTTTCTGACTTTAAATAGTAAATTTGAAATCCTTTAGCTTTTAATAGAAGCTAACATGAAGGCTTCAAGAAAGAGTTTTCAGTTTTTAAAATTCATTTTAAACCTTAGGTATACCGAATTAGTGGAGATACCTACATTACCAATAAGTTGAGTCTTTAATCTGAAAGATTGAGTTTTTAATTCTTCGATTAAAATTTCTGAAACTCATAAGGAAAGATTGCCTAGAAAATCTAACACTCAAAGGATATAGTGAAGGCGAGAGAAACATGGAAAATTATTAGTAAATTAGTTAACAAGTTTGACAAAGGGGTGGTAAAATCTCAAGCGTCAGAGAAACAAAATAGAAACAGTTAAGGAGAGACAGGATCACCCAGATTTTAGAAGAAAAAGAAGATTTCTTGGATATCGCGAACATGCTAGTAACATTGATCAAACAAGATTTGCATAGAATGAAACAAGTGATTACCTAAAGATTCATCGAATAAACTTAGTGTGGGAGAACTTCCTATGTAAAACACGCTGATTGTTTATTGTGTCACATTTGCAACTGGAGTTGTAACGCAGCAGAATTTTCGATCGACTTCTTTGGCCAGATAAAGTTTTCTTCTCTTCCAGTGTACCATTCAAGCCAGCTAATTGCTCACTGTAGTGATGCTCATTAACAATTTGTGCAAGTTCCGGCAATATTTAATAAAAGGTTCCCTTTGAATATCACAAATTACAGTGAAGAAGTTTCCCCAATTAATCAGACCACATGTTTGTTGCTGTGATCCCAATTTGTTGGTAGACGGGTTCTCTAATTTTCCTGGGTGATCATCAAGAATTACCGGAAGTAACAAAGATATAAAGAAGACCGTAGAATAATTCGAACTAAATATTGTCATAAAAACAACAAAAATAAGGATTAAAGTCGAATAATTCATGAAATGTTTAAATATGTATCAAATTTTCTTCAGTGGGAAAACAATCTCTAATTTAATAGAAAGCATGACATCTGCTTGATGGGAGATCGCTGCTGCACAATTTTCTTCAAATGGAATTTCTGCTAAATTTAATAAAGAGATTTTGATTTCGTTTTCTTGCCATGACACATATCTCTCCTTTTCTTTTTTTTTTTTCTAACCCTAAAAAGGCCAGTGATTTTGTCCGGTTATCATATTCTGCTGTATATTTTGAATTTCAGTGTACTTATACCAAATTGGACCAGGTTCCCAAGACATATTCTGTAATTTTGAGCAAGCCATCATGGATGTGGGGAGCTGAGAGTGGGGCCAATGAAAATGGAGTGTGCATTGGAAACGAGGCTGTCTTTACAAAAATGTTGAAAGATCAAGACAATGAAGAAAGACTCTTGGGTTGCGATCTTGTCAGGTATAAACACGTTTGTTTTATTTTTCGTTTTCTTAAATGGTTGCTTTTTTTCATAAAGGAAACAACTTCGAATGTGTTTCTATTTTAATTTCCCAGATGAAGAATGGTCATTATAACGCATTAATCTATTCAATTCGAAATTACCAGATGGCTACTAGATATGATAGACATCTAACGAAAGGAAGTGAGTACAACCATTAAAACGTCATAGCTACACGATTTTTTTATCATCAACTCATTCATAAGCAACTGTACTGAAACTGAACTAAATCATAAGCAATTATAGTACTTACATCTCTGTGACTTAAACAACTCAATTTCTTTTAGAAAGACATAACATTTACAAATAATATTACGAAAGACATTATTTTATACTGTACCTTTGTGTAGCTATATTAAAATGTCTTTCTTTTTCTATCTATTAGACGAAAGCATACAAAATTTAAGCAACTTGATTACTAATTCTTGCACAGAAATGAAACACACCGAGGATTTGTTAAAATGCTAAGTTACTTATTAATAAATCGTGTAAAATATATATATATATATTATAATTATTTCCATTTTTAAAAATGTTTCCATCGCTACACAAATTTCTATGTTTCAAAACTGAAACTAAAGTTGTAAATTTAATTATAAAAAAATAAACTTAAAATCCAGTGTTTCATTACATTGTCAATCTATCAAATGATAATGATTGTGATCGAATATAGGCAACCAAAGCCAAAATAAAAACATGAATTTTGGACAGGTTTTTCAACAATTTTAATTCGGACGTACAGCAACTTATTCGAAAATTAGAAAAATACTGTAAGGATACAAAAGGCGATTATTTTCCTTTGGTCGAGATGAAGTCACGTGGGTTACGTAAAAGTCGAGTATTAACGTCACTTCATAGAGTCACTCCTTCAGTCAGGAGTTAAACCGATCAGATGAATTCGTCAGGGCTTCTGCTTACAAGCATTTTATATGGAAATATATCTTCACCAAATATAGAAATTATCTCCGACTCGCAGTGCTCAATTTCGTTTCCTTGTTTGAGGAGAATATGTCCTCTTAGTGACATAGCAGATGAATCCGGCCCGCTTCTTCAGAAACAATTTCCGTTGGGAATTATTACAAATTAAGATCCTATACTTTCGTTTCTATTTAATTGTACAGTATTTACATTATTCGGACTCATCATATTTATTACAACGTTTCGGCCTTCATCGGGTGGTTGTAATGTCGAACTGAACCCTTTATTTCGCTCACTGAGGTAGACTGTTCTAGTTCCACGTGCCATGTTTAATGGATGTCAGTTATTTATATCCTGATAATTTCCCTCTGAAAGTTCTCCACTGCCTTAACCGGGTATTGAACTCACTGGATCTAATCAACGCCTTTATCAACTGTGCCATGTGTCCTTCAGGACATCTGTGTATGAATTTCTGGGTATTATAAACCTAATGTCTTCACCAATCATTTTTTACCAGTGCTCTTATTGCAATTTTTGCTGTTATCAACACATGTTTTTACCAGTGCTCATATTGTAATTTTTGTTGTTGTTATCGCTTTTCTCTGGCACTCCTTATTACTGGCACGTAATAATAATGTACATAATACCTCATCTCAGAAATATAGACAGATACTGCTGGTTGTGTAGACATGTGTGAAAGTTTCTCATCGTGGGACATGTGTAAAATATGCATATAATTTTGAGAATAAAGCATGTTTTTTGTTCCTTTACTTTCAGCTATTCCGTTCCATTCATGAACTCAGGTGTTATTATATCATGGATATAATGATGCCAATAATGGGGGAAAATGCAAACAGGAGAATATTCGTTTTTTCCATCGCTCGCCTATTTACATAATAAAAAATAAACAAATTTAAGAAAGCTTGATTAAATAAATTCATGCTACCTAAATAGAATTTTATAAATGTTGTTATACTATTGATCCCTCAATACAAGACACAAGAATTATGCAAAGAAGGTTGCCGAATGAAAATGTTGTAAAAGCATAAATGGAGGAAGTAAGAATTGCATATTATGAGTATATGTAAGATAGATAAAGGTTAATCCTAAACTTGAAGAGTTTAAGGTGATAGTGATCAGGGAAGCATCCTCTCGGGAGTCTGCTCCACACAGTAACAAAGAAAGAAGCTAAGTTGAACTTCCTCCTAAAAGGACAGTTAAAAGTAGCATCAGAAATAGACAATCTTTAATAAGGGCAAAAAAGGAAGCAATGATCGTCAGTCTAAAAATCACTCGTTTTTTTTTATTATGCTTATTAACAAGAATATTAAAAGGACTATTAATGAAATTACATCTTTCCCGTAAAAGAAAAATTTTGAAGAGCTTGGAAGATCTGCAGCATATTTGTATGGTAGCACAACACAGAGATATTTCCAATCAAAGAAATTAACAAAATTGCTGAAAATGAGAAATCACGGTGGTTTGCAGTATGACTTCAAATCGAAACAGGTCTCATGATGATTATGATTTTAAACGTTCGGAGTCAAATATCTCATAATATTTTTCGAAAATTACTACTCTTCGGTTTAAAAGTAACAAGTCTTAGAAAGAGAAACAAAGGAAAAGAGGAGGAGGAGTTTGCACAACAAATGTTTATAATAATGGAAAATTATTTTCACATAAAATATTAGAATTGTAACAATTGCTTGTTGTTCAATCGCCTCCTCTTTTCTATTTCTTCTCTTTTTAAGAATTTTGGATTCCTTACAAGTCTGTATTGTATTATTCCATTTAAACTTTAAAAATTAAATTAAATCAATGTAAGCCATTGGCTGATGAAGCAAATTGAAGGCCGAAAACATTTACTAACATTCAATGAAAACATAATATATGCTTATTGTCAGCAATTAAGAAAAGTGTTTAATTAAATTTTAAATTATTTTTCGGTCTTATTTAATGCAGTAAATTCTAAACTCAGGTTTGTTTGTTTTTCTGTCATGTGACCAATTATCGACTGTTTATTTGACAATATTAATTAAATAGCGACAGATGAAGAAAAATGGCGCATGTTGATTTCCATTCTACTGTTTGTAAATGTGTTGCTGTAACATCATTGTCAGTTTAATCTAACAACTAGAATACTATGGACTGAACACGTTAGCAACGAGGAAGCTTCAGAGAAAATGGAAACTAAAAGAACAGTTATAAGTTGCATCAGAAAAAGACAAGCTTTACTAAGCGCAAAAAAGGAAAGGAACTGGTGGAGAGCTATGATTGACACAACACATAGAAGTAGTGATCGTCAGACTAAAAATCACTGTCTTTTTTATTATGCGTATGCCACATAAAAGGAAACGAGATAGAACCTTGAGGATTACCTCCACTTAGCTTTGCAAGTTTCACCGAGCTGCCGTTAGGCGGCGCTATTAAACAGCTATGAAAACGCGACACTTCCTGTTTTCTTTCTCTCTTTTTTTCTTTCTCTAGCATGTTGTAGTAACAACACCAGCACGAGACTTGTTCTAGGGCTTAGAGATATCTTTCCCCATGAGTGACTAAGCTCTTACACATGTACACTCCCTAAGAGTTAACTTTTAATGTCTTTTTTTTTCAGATAGAACTGCATGAATACGAATGTATTTTCCCCTTTCTGTTAATTAATTTAAAAAAAATCACCTTGTTGAAATTTATTCCATTTCCTTGCTTCTCCAATAACAACGGTGACCCGTTATTTAAATTTTAGTTGCCACTACTTTTAGTCTAAGGAGAGCGTGATGAAGAGACTAAGCATAAACTTCAAGAAGACAGAATGCATGGTCATCAGTATAAGGATGAGCCCGAAATACGATTTTCAGGTCAGGAACACTAAAATGAAGTAGGTGAGGCAGTTTAAATATCTAGGAAATATTTTGACGGAGAACGCCAAGTGAGACGCTGAGATCCGAAGACGGATTGGGATCGCCAAGGATGCATTCCAAAAATTGGGTAGAGTATTGCAGGAGGATTTGTTTGATGACAAAGAAAAGAGTACTGAGCTGTTACATGGCGTCTCTCCTCCTTTACGGCAGTGAATGTTGGACGGTCTCCTCAAAGATGAAGAAGAGGACTCGAGGCAACGGAGATATGCTTCTACAGAAGGATGCTAAGGATATCATGGACCGAGCGTATGAGCAACGATGAGATTTTAGAGGATGCAAACTAGGAGGAAGCTTATACTTAACATCAGGAAGAGGCAGCTGAAATTTCTGGGACACATGATGAGAAAGGAGGGCGTGGAGAATCTGATACTGACAGGTTGAATAGAGGGAAAGAAAGACAAAGGAAAGCAACGTATGATATAGTAGAGAGCCATGATCGCCTACGTCCTGAAAAACACGACACATTAAAAGAAGAAAAAGCCGTAGTGTAAAAAGCTACTGAGGAATCCAGACTGAATTGAATATAGATTATGACTTCAATGCACACTGACTTTCAAATGAGTAAATATAAATATGTACCTTACATGTTCTGGTAGCTAAAATCTATTTGTTTTTTTTTTTTTTCATATAATTTGCTATTATTATCGTGGTGCGCGTGGCGTAACGGTTATCGACACATAAAATCGAATCAGCCGGCCAAGTTCAAATTCCAGCTGAGTTCGTTGCGCTCACTTTCGCAAAAATACCATTGAGAAATGCATGAATTCATTTCTTTTTCCCCCAGCTAGGTTAAATATCAGGGCAGACTGAGATATGTAAACTTGGTTGGCAGCCAGTCTAGAAAAAAAAAACAATTCTGAATTCAAAACTGGTCGGACGTGGGACAAGAAACTCCATCCCGTAAAAAAGACTTGCTACAGAAACGATAGCTAGGGTGGTGCGGCAGTCGCATTAGCGTGGTGAGACTGTGGCCCTAAACTCCATAAGAGAGTCTAATGGCCTTAAAAAGCTGAGGGCTATTAATTTAATTTCTGTTTGAAGTTTGGAGACGAGTTGTTTGTGTTGATATTTAATAATATTTTGGGACTAACAACCTCATATTCGTTGCTTCCACTACAATATTTCGACTATTCTAACCCCGGTTTTTTCGATTCACTTGGTAGAAAATTTTTCCGGATGGGATCCAATTGTTTTGATCTTTTCTCTGTCGTAATACCTGATGTCCTTCCTCGGAATATCAGACTTTGTAATTTTTTATAATTAGCAATCGTTGAGTGAAAGAAATGGAGATTGAGTGGGGAATTTCTGTCCTTGTCTGGCGTATTTTACACGTAGCAATAAAAACTCGGCCAGTTGAGAAAAGAGGTCATAGAACTACACAAGGAAAGAATTCAGAATCTTAACCAATTTAAAAGCATTGTTTTAAATGCATTCCACCAGACACTCAGTATTTATCAATAATGCTTTTAAAGATATTGCTAATGCTTCTTACTTCCCCTTGTTTGCGAGGGGTTATTTTTAATTTTCAGACTGGGCCTCGAACGCAGCGAGACAGCCAAAGCAGCTAAAGATATTATCATTAACTTGGTCCAGACAATCGGTGTTGGCGGACGTGTGTCTGATGAACCTTCATTATCTTATCTGAAGTATGATAACAGCTTCCTCATTAGTGACAATAATGAAGCCTGGATTTTGGAATTTGCTGGGCCGTATTGGGCTACCCAAAGGATCACCTGTAAGTTGAAACACTTCTTTTTATATATTATTATTTGGAGATTAAAATGAAAAACCGTACGTTGCATTTTTTTTTTTTTTTAATAAATTTCTAATTGGCTCGCCTATCGGAATACAAGAGTTACTTATTTATTCTTCTTTTGATTTTGAAATGCAAAATGAAATTAGACAGCAGTCTCCAGGTGCACCAACACACATACACACACCAAAAAGAAAACACGCACACAGCACAAATGAAAATAAACACATTCACAGTATCGAATTGAAAAGAATAACAATGTTTAAAATTGTCAGTGTGCGGCAACGTTCATTTTACGCAGAGCCCAAGTATAAAAGTTGTCCTGCAAGTACTTTTTTCCTAGAACTAGTGGAACTAAAACGTTGCTATGAGAGTAACGGTTCAAACAAATGGTACCCGGAATATGTGGCGTCTTTTGTTCCCCACTCTGCTGTAAACCGGATAATTAGAAATGTTATCAAAGGAGAGCAGTGAGCAACCGATTATTTTCTGGACAACGTCTATAACCCTTTGGAGGGTTCTCTTGTCCACTGCCGAAGCAGCAGGCATACTAAACAGTAATGCAATACGCCAGCTCACTCTCAGTCGAGCAACGGTAGAAGCTCATCAGCAGCGTCCAGATAGACGTTTCTATCCAGTGGACTTTAGAAATCGATAATTTTTCTTTATCTTCATACAGAGCGTCAGTGACACATTTTGAAAAGGTCACGTAACTGAAAGGCAAAGTCTTGTCCCCGAGAGAGAACAGTCAAGACGTGAAGGAAATATCTCCTCTTTATCTTTAACAACGAATTATCCTTACAGCGTTATTAACAGCGCCCTTCCCAGTGATATCTTTGTTATTCTTTTACATGCCTGTCATCGACTGGGGTTTGCCTTGGTCAACTTGCAGCCAAATCACTTGTCTGACAAATTCACTCTTCACTGGATACACGAGTACCATGACTTTGTGCTACATTACGCTAAGATCTGGATTTAGGGCACCTGCTGTAGAGCTGATTAGGTACTCGAGTCCGACAAGGAAAGTGGTAATGGCAACCGTAATATTAGCCGTTTCCTTATCGGCATTTATTGACAGTACTCTTGTTGGTTGAAATTCATAAAATCTATCTCTTAAACTAATTTTTCAGGAAAATTGGTTTCTCAAGTCCAGTAGCTGTTATCGCTCTTTCCAATGTTGATAGAGGCTTTTCTTTTTATTTGATTTTGTGTGGAATGCCAACATTTTCATTATGCCATTATATTCTTTTCGAGTTACATGTGATATCCATTTTAAGAGGACATCAATAATACAGTCATTCTTATACGAGTCCAAACAATTGATAAATCACGAAACGCTGAATCGACCTTCGATAAGTTTTGTAAGGTTATATTAGTTTTGATTCAATAATGTACATATACATACACTCACACGTGTATATATATATATATATACAGAGAGAGAGAGAGAGAGGCGTTAAGTTGACAGTGACAATGAATTGTTTATTAGTATGTACACACTGTCTATAAATATTCTATATTACACACACATATATATATATATATATATATATATATATAGGTAACTATACCTGTCTCGGAAAACCTTCGGTTTCTTGATTTGCTAATGATCAAATCAATTTCGAAGGAAAAAAAGGTTTTAAAAAAAGAAAGAGCTAGGAACATGAACGTCTGTCGAAAATAATCGTACAGCATACAGGTCCAAAGACCAAAGAAAAAAAACTGATACGAGTAATCAACTAACTAAAAAAAGTGCTCAGTACAAAAGTAGAGCAGACCTAGTCAAACCTAGAGAGCCAAACAAACTTACGATCCGCTTAGGTAAAACCTTGGTAGGTTTGTCTGGCTCTCAAGGTTTGACTACATATATATATATATATATATATATAGGGTGGGAAAGCAAAATTTACAATATTCTGAGACAGGAATTGAAAGACCTTTATAAGTTTTGCTTCCCCACCTTTTATATCTATTTATCTATCTATAAATACTTTATATTACCCATATATTGAGCTATCTTCCCCTATAAATGTAGAAAATTTTAAACAATTGATTTTGTTTACAGTAATTATTAAAAGACGTTAATTCCTTTAAAAGACGTTAATTCATGGCGGAAACTTATTTTATGTTTTCTCCTTAAAAACGTTATGAGGTAAACACATTTGAAATTGTTTGGTAACATGTATTACATAATTTAGATATTAATTTAAGTTTTGGTTTGAATTATATGTCGCCAAGGCTGCTTGCATTAAAAACGTTATCTTCTAGAAATGACTTCAGCGATGGTTTTTTTTTGGGGGGGAGGGGGTTAACTCAAATGTTACTGTCGTTTGAAATTTATAAAATCCCTAAAACATTTTTTCAGGAAAACAGGTTTCTAAAGTCCAGTAGCTGTTATCGCTCTTTCCAATATTGATGTGGTTTTCCTTCCTAACGTTTTATTTGAAGTCATGTGGAACGCCAGCATCTTCATTAAATCATTATTTTCTCTTCGAGTTACACGTGATATCCATTTTAGGTGTTGCTGCTGTTGAAAGTCTTTAAGTGATGTCGTATCTGCTATTTGGTGCAGTTCACGAGGTTTGATGTAGTGTAGTCTCCATCAAAACCCACAAGCTTCACTCGCTCAAGACAATTTTAACCAATGATCTTACAAAGCAGTTGTATACAGCTGACAGCTTAGATATTTCTGAACGGGTTTGGTGCCATGTATGTCATCTATAAGAAAGTTTCTATCTGACAAAGAATATGACTCGAATTTTCAGGTTAATGTAAAGAAGTAGTCTTAGTAAATATCTATATCTGCTATAGAATTATAGTTAGAAAAGTTATCTTGAAGGCCATAACGAGTGTTTTCAGTCTTCAGTCCAGTGGTCTTGTGCAAAGCTAAATCATAATATCTATTCTTCTTTCGGGTGTTGATTATAAGTCTTTAAGAGAAGGCACGGTGGAGTAATGGACAGCGGTTCGGATTGAGGAATCGGTGAGCCGAGTTCGAATTCGAGTCGAATCTATTACATTCATTTATTTTCTTGGGAAAGTCACGAATCCTCTTCTTCTCCCCACCCCAGACCGGGTTCTATAGCCTTGGATGGAAACTTGTCTACCGCAGAAATAAATAGCAACTTACTGCGGGAATAAATCCGCCTGGTCAGTCATGTATCGAAAGATACATGATCGCCTAAGCATGTATCACTCATGGCACATAACATCCTTTATTTCCAAACGAACCTATCATATCTACCCATCCAAATAAGTGTTTTTTTATCATTTCACCCTAAGCAAGGCGATTATTCCTCTAAGATGCCAGGGATTACTGAAAGTGAAAGAGAATGGTAAGAGAAAGTAACGTAAAGAGAAAGGACAATAAAAAAAGGGTTTCAGAAAAACAGAAGATGTCGATTGGCGTTGCATTTAATTTTTTAAAGATCGTAGGCGGCAAAGAAGCAAGAAACCGGAAGAGAGTTCCATCGGTGAGATATGCGAGAGAAGAAACTATTTGAATAGAACTTGCGGTTCCATCCAGCTAGTTCAGCTGTAAAATGATGAGTCCTAGTTGCCAATCTCGTAGTAAGCTTAAATTCCTGCAGTCGAGCTACCAAAAAGAAGAACTCACGAGAATAATTGCCATGAAAACGTTTAAAGAAAAGACAGAGGGAAGCCACATCATATCGGTGGGAAAGTGACTGAAGTCGAGATGCCCAGGTCAGGACCGATAACATTACAGACCTTTTTGTGGATTTTGTCGAGAATCTCTAGATATATTACTTGATAATTACGGCAGTAATATTCAATAGTAATAACAAAGCTTTTGTGTTAAGCAAGGTTATGTTTACTTCCTGGAAAATATCATTTTAACGTTATCATTTTGACGTTTAAAATGAATTTTAGCACATTCTTGCATGACACGTTGGTTTCTCGTAGATTTTGTCTGCCGCTGATATCAGTCGAAGTTCACGTGTTTCTCGTATATTCTTGCTAATTTTACCCGAGAAAAAAAAAATGAGCAGTTACCCCCATCTTTCTAACCGCTGAATTTATTCTGTGGTTAAACGATGTTTAAATTCTGTCTGCGTCCCCTGGCCGCCACCGCTACACTACAGCTTTACCTATGACATCACACGTACGTTATCTGGCAAGAATCCAGCATATAGTTTCCCTCGTTTTTGACATTTCAGCTTATATCCAACGAAGACGCATTTATCACAAGATCATATAATGAGTTCTCAGTAAACCGAAATAGAACCTCTTGTCAACCATTTGCAAGATCATTTCATCATTATTAGTTGGTTAATTCATTACAAGATCCTTTCACAACTCTTGCTGTTCACTGTTGAAACTACTAAATGTAACCGTCTCTTCTACTCCAATAGCTTCATATCTCGCACCTCTCGCCTGTGGAACTCCCTTCCCTACAACAGTTTCCCTGAGATCTATAATCTCCAACTATTCAAATGTAGTGTCAATCGACATTTCTAGTTGCCTTGATCTATCCACTATCCTTCTCCTCATCCTTTCTGATCTTGCTCCAAATCTTCTGTAACCCCTTGCGTCCTAGTGGCTTCCCGCCTTGCTTGGGGTGAAACGCTTAAAAAAAAAAAACATACATGAATGGATTTGGTTAAGCACTCTCGTCAAAACCAAATAAAGATCTTGCTCAAAGTATCTCTATCATAGGGTGCAATCTGATTGGATAATACTCCCTCGCTAATACTCCTTGCTGGGTTTACATTAGAATAAGCCAAGTGAGACTATATTGAACCATCATAACGGCTCGTTGTTCGATGGTCTTGCTTTCATTTTGTGATTTCTGGGAAGATGCAAAATGTTCACTGCGACCTGTCTGACTTGGGTGTCCCTACCAGAAACTTAAGCTCCCGCTAGCAAAGCTCTTCGGATCAACGAAACACGCAAACTACGCCACAGCAACAGGGTTTAATGAATAGGATTTGCGAGGTCAGCATGTGATTAACAACTGCATTATGACTATTTCCTAATAGATCAGATCATTTGTAAACATCTATACCGATGATACGACAATATACGGGTGCATCTTGAAAACTCTTGACGATCAACTCTAACTTCCCAGTGGGGAAAAAGACTCCTCATTTTCAATACATCGAAAACCAGACTAGTTACTGCCGATCGAACCCTGAACTACCGTTTCTCTTGTTTATAGTTACGTAATTCAAGTGCATAAAACACTTCCTAGAAGAACAAAGAAAGAGAAAGAATCATCTCTGTGTGCGTATTTAATTGTGTGTGGATACATGAGTGTATCTGTCTATATTTCTGAGATGAGTTATCATGTACACTATTTACTTTATTCGGACTATTGTCCTCATCTTTGTCGCCATATTTATTACAACGTTTCGGCCGTTATACACTCCGGCCTTATTCAGGTGGTTGTAATGACGAGCTGAAACCTTTATTTCGCTCACTAGGGTAGACTGTTCTAGTTCCACGTGTCATGTCTGATGAATGTCAGTTATCTCCTGCTTAATTCCCTCTCCAAGTTCTCCACCACCTTAACTAGGTATTGAAGACTAACTAACGCCTTTATCCACTGTGGATAAAGGCGTTAGTTAGATCCAGTGACAGGACCCAAAGAGTGTGAATTCACAATAGTCCGAATAGTGTAAATAGTATATATGAGTGTAATCGAAGGAAAATTCATACCGCATTAATGTTGAGAATTTTCTTTACCTCAAAGGATGAGACACAGAGTCCTGTTACCTGATGTCTGTGTCGAGAGAGAGTGGCGTTATAACTTCTGCTTTTATAAAGACCGCATAGACGTATACTTAAGTAAATGAATAAAATTATTTTTACTTTTTCTTTCTTTGTCAGTCAACAGTGTTTTCTAAAAAGTTTACATTTTTAATAACTAAGTGGCTACTATAGCTATAGTATTGATTTTGGCACACAGGTAGCATAGTCGAGTAAGTGTCCTCGTAGCTTCTGAGATCTTGCCAAACCGTGCAAATTTTGTGGCAAGATTACTGACATTTTGATGAAAATGATGAAAAGCCCTGAACTCGCTGCGGCACGTCGTAATACCTATATCAGTTTTCTTGCTAAGTCCTTAAGAAATGCCTCTATCATTTTTCTTGCTATGTAGCAATGTCTATGGTATTTTGCTTATTATATCAGGTAGCAATGCTAATAACATTTTCCTTACTTTGCCATTGGAGAATGTCTTTTTCTTCGAAATGTCATATACCTGAGATTCCCAAAACGGGCGGTATCGATGGGGAAGATCTAGGGGTATTGCGGGGGCGATGGGAAAATCTTAGGGGTATTGTGAGGGAAAAGAGACGGTAGGGGTGGTTAGAAATAAGCGAGTGTTATGGGTGTGGTTGAGCGGTATTAGAACTAAGCAATAAGCTTTTCTTTCTAACTTTTTTGGCACCACGTGTAGAGCGAGGTTTCACTGCCATTGCCCAGCATCTTTCCAAGCAATGAAACGGAATGCGGAGATCTCCGACTTCTTTTCGGTGCCTGATGTTGAGAAGCTGATATCCCTGCACCAAATATATCGATCCCATTAAAACTGGGAATTTATCTTTCTATGTCGTTAAACCAGCTAAATAAATCAGTTTAGTTGGTTAGCTTTTTTTGTTGTGAAATGCATGTGCGTTTACAGTATTAAATTAGTTCTTGATTTGAATATGTAGTCTACCTTATGCCAAGAAACAATTACTTTCATACGGCGCGGGAGGGTGTGGCCTTGGAGCCAAGGGGTGGCAGTTAGAAAAGTTTTGGAAACCACTGACCTGTATCATTCTGATACTATTTTACGGGTGGGGGGAACTTTGCATCTTTTTATCCAAGTAAGTCACTGGAGTCAGCGTTTATCTCTAACCCGACTGCCTCAGAACTTTGAGATGAAAGACAGGGTAACTAAATGTCCCAGGCAAGCGAAATTAAATAGGCTTCATAAAATATTTATCAAAATACGAACAAGATATTCACAGAGATGTAGCTTTTATAACCGATTACACAAAACTTCACAAATGCCAAATATGCGCACCACCTGTGGCACAACACACGTCATGTCAGTCGTTCAGCTCCTGCCAAACACGCTGTAGCATATTTTGCGTAACATTCTCCAGCTCTTCAGTGATTCTCTGCTTAAGTTCCTCCAGGCTTGTAGGAAGAGTGGGGGCGCAGACCTGTGCTTTCACATAGCCCAATAGAAAAAATCACAAGGTGTTAAGTCAGGTGAATGTTATGACCATTCAACAGAACATTGTCATTATCACTGTCACACCCGATCCATCTTCCTGATAGATTCTCATTGAGATAAATCCACATCCCTAGTTTTTAGACATTTTGTTAAAATTTGCGATCATTTGAGCGAGAATTGGCTATATTATTAGACTATAAAATGATATAAATCTTGGGGGAACTTCCTGTATATACAACTCATTTTCAGGCTTGTAGGAAAAGGGCGGATATAAACCTGTCCTTTTACACAGACCTATAGAAAAAAAAATCACACGGTTTCAAGTCAGGTGAACGTGGTGGCCATTTCACTGGCACGTCTGATCCATCTTCTTGATAGATTTTCATTGAGACAAGTCTGTACAGTCAACTTAGTGTTTACACATTTTATTAAAATTTGAGATCATTTAAGCGACAATTGGCTATGTTATTATTAGACTGCAAAATGATGTCCAATTTGAGGAGACACTATGTTTGGTATTCTATACATTTTTTCTTCACGTTTATGTTGATTTTTCTTCTTAAATAATTTCAGCGCCTCTTCAAATTCTTCGTTTGGAATTTTCTGTAATTTAAGTTCTATGAACAAAAACCTAACAATAGTCTTCATCCCAAAATTTCTGATATTTATATTTCGTGGTGACGCTGATTGCTTTTTTCTTTTTTTTTTAATTCATTTGGTTGAATAATTTTTTCTCTTTAACTCTGTTCGCAGCTGGTCTTAGAAATATCTCGAATATTCTGACCATCGGTACAGAATTCACTGAAATAGCCGACGGAACTAGAGAACACGCCTCAAAAATGGGCTGGTGGAATTCATCAATAGAAGAGTTCCATTTTGCCAAGGCCTTTTGTCAAACTTACTCAGACTTGGAAAAACTGGACAAATTCGCCCACACCAGATATGCCAGTGGCCTTGAAATGCTGGAGGAATTCTCCAAAGAGAGTAAGTTTCGTTTTGTTGTTTTTTTTGGGGGGGGGTTGTTTTTTTTTTAAGTAAGATTCCAATTTGGTATTGTTATTAATACCAACAGAGTACCCGCCATAGAATTATTTACGCATAGATCAGCACTTCTCTCTAAGATCATGGTGTACTATTTATGTGTTTTTATCCATCATATATAAGTTCAGGATACTTACAAAAGACCATTTTAAAGTTTTACATTTCGCTCGTCTGGCTCCAGACAAGCGAAAACCTTTTAAGTCGGTCTTAGATAAATATCCTGAGATGTTTATATCATTTTATAACGGCAATTATTTCTCTAGATATCTATTGTACCCTTTATTGACAAAATCTGATGTGTGGATAGTTTAATGAATAGTAGGTCGGCATGAGAAATTCGAAAGAAGTGTTCGAATTCCAGTCGGTTTCATTGCATTCACTTACACGCTAATACTCTTCAGAAAGGCATGAATCCATCTCCTTCCCCAACTATTGGGACTGATATCTGGAAAATACATTATTATCCTCAAAAATGTTTTCGGCTTTAAATAACGCATGAAAGTGTTGATAAAACTTTAAAAAAACAAATAAATCAATATAATGAGGATGGAGGGCTTGGAAAATTTGAAACTAACGGGACATATTGAAGGTAAGAGAGACACAGGAATGCAGCATATAGCCTGCTTAACGAATTTGTGTTTAATGATTGCCAAAACGGGGATTAAGAAAAGATAGCGAAAAGACAAACATCACTAAGAACTACAAAGAACAGGAAATTATGGAGAGCCGTGATCGTCCACATCCAAAAGAGACACGGAACAGAATAATAAATGATAAACTTTATAAACTCATATTTATTGCGTCTGCTCACACGATAAATCGAATAAACACCTTCTTACATTTCATACATGTTTTAGTTTTTGCTAAGTGACTATATACACGGTGGTCCAAAAGTCTTGTCACCCACTACCAAAAGGAATAATAGTAGAATAATAATACAGTAATACAAAGCACATGTAGTTGATTCAGTTTGTTTACTTTTATTGATGATGTCATACATCGATAAGGTCTGTATGAACACCATGATTTTCGTGTCAGCTATCTGAAATAGAAAATTAGATTATGTAGGAGTGATAAGACTTTCGGACCACTAATAATCATTAAAATTAAAGTTTTGATCTAATTGTTTCATAAAATATTCTGTATATATGTAATAATTAGAGTAAATTAAAGTTTTTACGTATTTCGTTTCATAAATCCTATTTGTTACAAATGTAATTATTAACGTGAATGAAAGTTTCGAAGATCTTTCTTTAATAAATCCTACTCGTGATATCATCGATTACATAGTATAAAAAAAATCTGAATTATTAAAATTAACCATTATTTTCCAGAGAATTTCTGCATTTCCGACATGATCAGTATCCTCAAAGACGAACCAAGTGGCATCAACATGAAGGGCGCCTTTAAGACCATGAGTTCCCATGTCTCTCTAATTCGCCCACCAAATTCAGAACTTGCTTCCTGCCACTGGTTGACCGGAACTCCAAACCCGATATTTTCTATCTTCAAGCCCTTCGTGTTCACCGATGGCGCCAACATTGGCGCTAGCACCAAATCTCCGAGCTTTGGCTCTGAAGATCCGGCCAAGAACATCCCCAGGTTCCGCAAACGAGTTGACCGCAGTTCCCCGTTGTTTGAGGAACACGTAAGAGTTTATTTGACGTGCGGCACGAAAGGTCGAGATGCTGACAAATGGCTGAAGGAAATGAACACACTTCAAGCGTCCATCATCAAAGAGACCGAGGAATTTATCAACGACCCTGAAAAGCTACAGATGAACAAAGGAACCAAGAAGACACTGTTTAGGATGGCTGTCCACAAGGAGATGGTCCTCTACAGTAAAAGGTAAGGTAGATACCTGCGAAGCAGGGAACTATATCCATTGCCATCACATTTAGGTAATGCAACACACCACAATATAACATGTAAAGTATGTATATAGCTGACGCATGGCTGAGTATTTAAAACGTTTGAGTTTCAACCATAAGATTCGGGTTCGAATCTCACCATGGTCGATTTATCAAGGAGTTGATTTTTTTTTTTTTTAAGATCATTCGGGTGAGACAATCCAAGCATTCGGCATCGCCATGTAGTGAGTGAAAATCATACCACAGGCTGACCGAAGCCTGATGTGTGAAACTAAGTGGATGAAATTATTCGAAATCTCTCAGTGATGCTAACACAAAGTCATAGGTCATCATGACTCAGGGTTTGAGCGTAACTGGTCTTGTTCAATTATTGATCACGCCAGATTATGCATTATCTCTTAGAAGCTGTAATTAAGATCTGGTCTGCATAGTTGCAGTATCAACAACATATGGGTTCTGTAGAAGTCTAAAAAACATCTAAGCAGGCGTCTGCAACAGGGATTATCTAACCAAAACGAGCAACCGGTCATTTATTTATTTAATATATAATGTGTATGTATGTAAAAATTCTTTTTTTTTTTTTTTTTTGAAAACTGTAGTGAACCAGTTATTTTAAAAAATGCTAGAAACTTTTGCAATTACAGTATATACAAGGTGTGGCAGAAATATCTCCTACATATACCTCCCAGAAATACCTCCTACATCATGGTATGATATGAGCTAGATGAAGACACCATTGACACTAATGTCTTACCATTCTATGGAAGGTATTTTGTCACCTCGAAGCGGATAATGGTTAACAAGCTTGTCTCGCTAGAACAATTACGACTGAGCAGGGTGCCCCCTACTTTGGCCTTGTGCCACATCTAAGCTACCCTTGGAAAATCACAATGTGGGAGGTATTTTTGCCGCATCCTTGTACTTTCTATGTTATCCAAAATTTCAAGGAATTTTAACGGACTGAAAAATCTTTTCATTTACCAGGTTACCCATCGTTTTTTGCATCTCGCCAGATACTAACTTGAATCATAAATAATTTTTTTAGCAATTTCATTCTTAAAAAAAAAAGGTAGAATTACTTTATGTTCATGGTGACCACAAAGTCATTAGACAAATAGAAAATTTTATAAAAATTATAGCGTAAACTGGATACTGTTTACATGTTTGCATATTATGAAGTAAATAGTGAAATTTATATACAAAAAAAATTAATAAATTTCTATATGGGCCACATTCGTTACATGAAGAACATCTAAGTGATATTAACTTTCTGTCCGTGTCCTTTTTAAAATACCTTTATCAATAGTCGCAATAGCGGCAGTTATTCTTTGGTGAGGGTCATCCAAGTCCTTTACTTTAGCGCGCTACACAATATCTTTCTTATGAATTCAAAAGAAAATGTGCATGGATGTTTTATCTGGGAAACGAGGAGGCCAAGAAAATTGTCTAAGCAATCTGTGGACACCCTGTATATTTACCATTATTCGCAATGACTTCGATGCCTTTTGAGTAAAATTTCCGCAGGTTTTGATGTGAAAAGATTTTCGGCGAATTATTTAATCTGCTTTTCATTAAAGAAAGATTTTCCTCATTAAAGCGTTTTCAAGCGATCGAAAAAGGTAGTACAGAGCAACCTCGGTTCTCGAACGTCTCGCATGTCGTACAGAAAATTCGAGATGAAAATGCCTCGGTTATCGAACAAAATTTCGGTTCTCGAACAACATTTCCGAACCGAGTTAATCCGAACGGAATCATTTGACCGTCGTGTTGTATATATTTGTGTGTTTTGTTGTGTTTTTCTCTTCCAATTTTATTGTATTGTGCCTTTTTTTTTTTTTTCTTTATCTTCATTGGCCCTTAGTCATGGATCCAAAGAAAACTAGCGGTGATAAAGGAAAAAGAAAAGTAAAGAAAGAAATCCTTGCAAAACTCAAAAATGACGTTCGTGTGTCAGATCTTGCTGTGTAGTATGGTATGCCTAAATCGACAATATCTACTATTCTAAGAAAATAAGGAAGTGATAAAAGCAGCTTATGTTGCAAAAGGAATGGCTGTTATTAATAAATGGTTAGTTCAATCTCAAGTGACTATGGCGCGTCGGGTAGACTTACTGAGTTCCAATTTTTTTTCGTTTGTTAGTCTTGCTATGTGCGGCCTTACGTTGTCATGGAGAACATTTTTTTCTATTCACAATCACAGAGCGCTTTTCGACCAAACTTTTACGGACACGTTGTAGCTGTTGGGTATATAAATGTGCATTTAACAATTAATTGTATTTTAAACACTCTAAATGCATAATGCACCAACGATTCCACCATACAACATTATCTTTCTTCTATGGAGCACAAACTTTGGAGTCAGATGGGAAGATTCACTCCATAGCATTTTACGGTGAACATTGTTGTATGTAACCCACTTTTCATCGCCTGTTATGATATATTTAAAGAAGTTGGGTTGATACTAACGTCATTACAATTTCTTTCCGAAAACAGAATTTATTTATAACTCAACCACTCCACCAGAAATATGTTTATTTTTTAACACATTTCCCCCTTTAAATTCCTCAGTTCTCAGGATATATTCGGGTCAATGGTATTTTAATATCATAATGATATTTTATGTTATTGCCTAATATTTTAATCACATATTCACCAGCTACTTTACTAACTTACTGATTCTGTATATAATTAATTTCAAGGTTTCAATGGCTGTAACAGCTTTTACAGCAATATTTTCTATAGCTTTCCAATAAATTTTGAGTATTCATTTCTTAGCTGTCGTGAAGGATATACCTTCAGGATTAATCCCTTCCTTGCTGCTGGGTTTACGAAAATACATGCGCATTTGAAAATAAACTTTTACTCATATTTAGTGATAACGAACTTCACCAGCACGGCACTTGAAATCTCTGGTCTTTCAGTCTCTCTATCCGCCGGTTACTGCAAAACTGAGTCAACACATGATTTCTGAATTTCAAAAGAGTGAACACGTTCAACACCGAATAGCGTTAATTGATGTTTTCTCTTCTTGTTAAGCGTCAAACAATATCAAGAACCTAACATCTCCCTTATTGAAATTCGCGCTTTGTCTTCATTTTATCTTCCACTGACTGCCGTGTCTAATACCTTCTTTATCTAGAGAACCTTCTATTTGGTCTGAACATGTTAGTAGGCCTTTGTGTTTGCCGATAGACGCTCAGCTTCGATATAATTCCGACGAAAATTCGAAATTAAAAATATATTCAGTTTCGACTAGAATGATCGATAAATTTGGCAATGCTCAAGGAAATCGTGAAAATGTTCAACAACCGGCTTACAAATGAGAGTCCGTTCATATGCCAGTAGATGGTCATCTACAAGAGGCTATCGGGCTAGATGTCTTCCGGACCGAACGCCATGTAGCTGCCCTTGGGAGGGAGTTCTTTACTGGTACCAACACAAAAGGTGCATCGTCTTGGAGCAGACTCTCAGCTGAGGTAACCAACGTTAGTGGGATTAAAATATTGGCATTAAACATGTTTAAATATTTCGTTTTAATTTTTCTTTCTTTTTTGTGGGTGGGTATACGAAAAATTTTAGACACTGCATGTGATTACTCATCTTATGTGTATATGTATGTACGTATGTGTATACATCCTAGTATGTACGGGGAGTCGTGTGTGCGTGTAAGTACGTGCTTTCATATGGTACAGAATATTTACGATAACCACATTGTCAGATAGGTATTGTGAACAAAAGTCCCTAATGCGGAAGCCTTGCTCCGTCAACTCGACAAAAAACACTATCGACCCACAAATGTCACCATCGACTCACAAGGGTTACCACTATCGGCTGACAACTGTCACCAGGTCTAGGAACCCAATTCATCAGGAATAGAATAGATTACCTGAAATTATTAGATCCTTAACTCGCATTGTTCAACACATCAAATCTAAACCATGACTGTCAGTAAACATAGCGCCAAAATGTCCGTAATGATAGTTCTTTACATGCATATCTATGGCATACTAAACTACAAACGGATATAGCCGATAAACGTTGATATTTTGAAACGTGGCATCTATGGCCCATTTTGTTGCGCTTCACAGATATTGCGCACTTTTTTTTTTAAATTAAACGTTTGTGGTAACCTTGGGTTCATTAAGTCGATCGGCGCCGCAACATCACCCGCCATCTCAATGTTTTATTTCGGTTGTAATAAAGTGTTTTAAATTCATGTATGTTCATTTTTTAGTACTTAATTCAACTGTACACTGAGTGGACTACATTATAACTGTTATGTGAGACTGTGGAGGCAAAAATTAGCGTGGTTTGCTTTATTGCGGTAGTCTGGAAGCGAAACCGCAATTCTCCGAGATAAAAACCTAAATTTATCACAGTACTAGGCAACTTAGTATTTTCGAAATATTCTTAGTTTATTTGCCTCTGACAAAGTTGACTATGGGGGTTAATATTTTATATATATATATACACACACACATATATATATATATATATATATATATATATATATATATATATATATATATATAATACACACACACACACACATATATATATGAAACGTATAGTTAGCAAGAATTCACACATTTTATTGAATTCGACTAACAATGCCTTTGAATATATATATATATATATATATATATATAATACATTAGTGCAATTAATGTAAGACATTCTATATATTTCTTAATATATGTATATTAAATAGCTCTGTTAACACTGAGCACGGTTTTTTCTTACACTATATAGTATTTATATGCATTTTTATACGATCGCTCGCTCGTTAACGACCACACTTTGAAAAGTTGCATGAAACAAATTTTGATTGTTCGTTTTTCAATGCAGACGTTTCTTTCTCTTATAATGGAATGGACAACGTGTTGTATTAACAAAACAAGTTGAGTATCAAGCGTAAAAAGTAACTTTTACATCGAAACATAGGCTTTCTTAAGTTTTCTTCTATTCCGCAAACACA